CTAAACACCGATCAGGCACATCAGATTATAGTGTTTCCTCTTTGAATCCTTGACTATACTAATGAGGGGCAACACAAAAATGTGTTTCTAAAAAATAAAAACAAAAATGCAAACATGCCAGGAATATAATTTCACTTGTTATTATGAAAACCCAAATACAGACTTTTCCCTTGGAATCCTGGTCAAGTAATGACCACTGGGTAAGGAAATCAAAATATGTGAAGCAGAAAGGCGTGAAGAAGCTTCATACAACCACCGTCAATCAGGATCAGATGCATGGTAGGGTTAATATAAGAACAAAAAATGTCACAGTCTTCAGGAAACATCAAGCTAGCTGCTTCTTGGTGCAACTGAAGTATGTCTTTAAGACAGTTAAGAGGAAATGGGATGAGGTCTGTTATACCTCTTGAAGAAAATGTAGGATATTTGGGACTTCATCTCACCATCCTCCAGAAAACCCTTCATATACTAAAATGAACACAAAACCTCGAGTCTGGATAAAGTGGAAAAATCATGCAAAACTGAAAGTACAACCAGTACATGTACTGCCAGCAGTTATAAAACATGTACAGTACAGTGCAGGGGAGATGGCTCCTTCCCTCAGCAGCACCTCCCACGGAGCCAGCCTGAGTGTGACGTTAATTCTGAGCAATGGCAACGACATTTTTGTGCAAACAACTGGCATGCCTTTGCAGTACTCCAAACTTGTTTGAATTGCAGTGGCAATAGGATTCTGCTGACAAGCTGAGTCAAAGGAAACAAGCATAAAAAATAAAGGGATTCCACTGAATAGCAAATATCACCAGCATTGTCTGTGCACAGTACTGAACGGACTAAACACCAGCAAACATCAGGGGAAGGGATTCAGCAGTAACACTGAAAGACCTCTGCCTTATGTACTTCAATTCCTAAATAATCTTGTACACAGTGAATGCAACCAGCGATGCAGGCAAGCATACAAGCAATTCTTTTTTGCAGGCTTGGGAATTTTATACTATCCTCTTATTTGTATCATGCAGGGCCACGTTTCATGCTTTTTAGAAATGAACAAGATACTATGAAGTCAAACACAACCTGTATGCAGTTCACATTTATAAATAACTTTCTTTGCTTCAGTCTTGCTCCAGGTAAGCTTGCAGGTAGATAGAGAGAACCTTGACAAAAGTCTGGAGACTACAATTACAATTCTAGGGGCATCTTAGGAAAGTAGAATTTAAATGAGCTTTAAATGCAATTTTAATTCCATACAATAAGAAAACTAACTTTTTGAGCCCCTTGACAACCTGCTCCTGTGCCACCAAAATAGGAATGAAAATATAGTTTCAATAATAACAAACAAGAATCAGAATATGACCATGATGTTTATACACAACTTGGACTGGTGCTAGGCAAAATCAAAAGGAGGGTTGCAAATTCTAGATACGATTTCACTAGCTGAGGTCCTTCACTCAGTACAGAAATGTTTATTTGTGGCTTTATAAGGTGATATAGCAACTCATATTGAAAGCACAATATCATGTTTTACTAGACTCTCTCTCCTTTCCATTTCCCAAACTAAGCAAATTATTTTAATCTGGATTCCTCTGTCACATCAGAGATTACATTGTGAAGAAACTAATGACCTGGAAAAACCAAGTTCAATTCACTGTTATGAAACGATTCCAAATGGTAGGTGCTATTCCACTGGCAGGAAGAAAAATCTCCCTCCCCCTATCAAGAATTTGTCATGAAAATTTTCCACTTATTTTCTATTATGTTCCTAGCTCAGAAGACCCTTATTTTATAATTGCAAACCAAAGAAACATAAAACCCATTATGAAGTAAACATTTACATTGTGAATATCTCTCTGTAAAAAAAGGTACCACCAGATCTCCTTTCAGAATATTGGTAAAGGAGAAAAATCTTTGTTTTCCCTAGTTTTCTTAAAGTTCAGTGATAGAAGAATTAAACAAAAAGACTTATCTGAAGGTAAACATTTAAAAATATGTAAAAACTTGGAAATAAAATATCACTTTTCATTAACAAATCCATAATACTCAGCAGCTCACGTGGGCAGGATGGTGGTAGAGAAAGCCTGTAAATCCCACACATTTGACCATGGGCTGGCCTGAAAATCAAGAACTCAGGTCAGTGGTACATCAATGTCACAGAAGACCAGTTAACTGAACCACTCAGAATAAATTTCTTGGCTTCCAAGCAGCACATAGAATACAAAGTTTCCAAAGGTTACATTTAGCTGGCAAGTAAATTTTTACAGAGAATGTGATGGTGGTAACACAAAATCACAAAGAACGCAAGAGTGCTGTTCATACTGGGTTTTATGTATGCAACATGCATACAACGCAAACACACACACCAAAGTTTCTTAGAGAGAAAAAATTTAATTAAACAGTGCTTGTTTAAGGGCGTCTGAAGGCTTATTGTTTCATGGATAGCAGAGAAGGTGGTTTGGTATGAGGCAAAAATTACAAGACTAGATTGCTGCAGAGCTACAAGATAAACAGAAGAAACACAGTGTATGCTTGCTTCCTCACAGGCATTCTGGCTAATAACTTAATGAGTTCATAGCCTTCAAAAGATTCAGCTTTCTCCCAGGTATTCAAGACAAAATTTTTATTTCCTATTATTTCACTTTTCTGTGAGCTACAATAAAAATCTGGGGGTCTCTTTTCCATGTACTCATCAATCCTTCTATTAATATAGACCTGACTACACCGAGAATAAAGTCTCAAGTATTCATTTTGTTCAATATAAAACAAAATCAGTTTTCATGTACCAATGTCCCAGGATTCCAAAATATAACTAATTAGTAGTCTTAAAGGAAACAAATCTCTAGAAACATGCATCTAGCAAGCAGGGTATTGCTAGATTTCTTCCTCTGAGAAGTACTGAACTTCAAGCACTAGAGGATCATATGACCCAGGGGAATAAGATCATAGCATCTACAGTCATACATTTCTGAATTATTAATAGTAATGCTATAATTTTGTATCATTTCATGATCATTTTCTCAAAGATGATGACCTAATTATTCATTAGGTACTTAGAATATGTAAGGAGGCATGTGTGCCATGCCAATGTTTTGTCAGATACAGTCTGCCGAGGAATTGCCACGTTTTATAGGTGTAGCTTCTACAACACCAGTGTTCTGTTTTGTCATTACCACACCAGAAGATCTGCTTTCACCTTTGGGCTCACCTTAGGTATTCTGTTATTTATCTTCTTCCGTTGTATTTTTAACTGAGTTACCTGACTACAGAAAGATTTTAGTGTTAATTTATTTATGAACATTATTTCTGAATCACACTCTAAGAAATGAGCTAGAAATGATGGGCTCTGAAGCTGTAAGTAAACAGCTTAAAAACAAAACATTTTCAAAATCTATAAACCTATATAAATTAGCTAATGTATTTGTGGAGAAACAATTAAACTAATTTTTCCCAAAAATAAAATGCATTGACTTAATCGCTGAGGAAGAAATGTTCAGGGGTTTGGATTTTTTATTTTTCAAGTTGAAAAGGAAAGTGGTAGTGGCTTTATATGTACAATTCAAAATAAAATATAAAAAAAATAATTATTATTTAGCCTGCATTTGTACCTCTGAAATACCACATTTGCCTGAATTACTGGAAAATTTGCCAGCATCACTTAGGCAGGAAACTAACATAAAATTGCTTCCTTGGTAGCTCCAAAATACAGAAACACCAGTTGACTCTAGGCATCTTTTGTCACAAAAATTCATCTTTTGCACCTCCTGGCTGCTCTTACTAATTTTCCATTACCCTTCAATCAGTCTTTAAATCTCAATTGGTATCCGAGCTCATTTTCACAGATACGTCTATTTAACACTACAGTAAATGTATCTTTCCCCCCCCCAGAGATTTTCAACTTTGATTTTGTTATTCTTTGTCAAGAGACAAAATAATTTTTCAGTTGAGGGACACATTACTGGAGGGGATTTACAGGCTCAGTCCTGCAAGTAATGCCAGAAAGTACTGCTTTGTAATTCCTTCACATACCAATCGAGTTCCATCTCACCACTATTTCAATTGGAAGCCTGCTGCTGAACTGCACACTGCCAGAGATTTCCTTTTAGTTTTCAGCCTAAAATTTATTCATGGTCAAGTGCATCCATTCATTATTTTAACACTGCCCTTGGTCTATTCATAAACATAATTAAATATACTTTTGCTGTGCTAAGGTCAACTAGCCATGTTGTTTTAACCTTTACTCGTGGCATTTTCTGAGTCTCTGAACAGTAAACATTTTCTGTACTTCCAGTAATCCAAACTGGATTGCACTGGAAGCTATAAAATGCTATTAAATATTTTTTTTTAATTTGGAAACAATCTCTTGTCATCTTACATATTATATGTATCTATATATACAACCATCAAATCTATGAATTTATTTGTAAAATTATATTGTAAATTATCTCTTTTCTTAATGAGAGCTGACTGGCAAGAGATTTCAAAACACTAAGAATTACTAACAATCTTATGACATGCATAAAAATTCATCCTTGTATATTTTATTGTAACCTACTATTTTTGGGTAAGCTGTTAGATTTTTTTAAAGTAGTCCAGACTGACAGGTTCTATAAATGGGATAACCTGAAGTATTTTACTTAGAAGTAATTACATTCAATGCCAAAATGCTAAGTGGCCATCCATAATAACCTAAACCCTGAATTATTTTCAGAAGAGAAACAGAAAAGGTAAGTAAATTGTGTCAGAGTGTAAATGTAAGCAATTTAGCCACTGAAGTAATCCTGCTGTAACCTACTGTCCACAAAGCTGAGCAGCACTGTGCCCTACACAACCGTTGTACTACACAAGTGCTTTAAATTTCAATGAAACTCCAGCTAGCTTTTCCTTCTTTTGTGGATTTTGTGTTGTTGATTTTTTTCAGTCTAAGGCAATGTCTAGAAATTACCAGTACTAAAGAATCTGTTCATGGCATTGTTTACAAAAGCTCCTAAGAGACAGTGACTACTTTATTGTTGAATGTAACCTTTATTTTATTAATTATGAGAAGTAATCAATGGAATGCTAAAAAAACCCCATACTTGTAAAGAAATCTAGTCTGAAATCTGAATCTGTCGTTTGAAGCAAGTTCAGTGGTCATGGTAACACCAGATGAAAGTGAACTCTTGCCCATTGTGAAACAGGCATGGCTCTTCTAAAAAGGTCACAAACTTTTCAAATATAGGCACCATGTTTCAAATTTTGCACATACAAAATATGTTCATGTCACTCAAATTACACAATGTGGCAGTGTTGTAAGTCTGAACATTATTGTCAATTAATGGCGGAGGAAAGAGCCCAAAGCTCACGTAAGACTAATGACTGGGACAACTCCTGAAAAGAGACAAGAAGTATAAAACAACAGTTTTCCTGTTGTACGTGGGATTGTGTGTGCATGTGTGAGAGTGCATATAACAAAAATGTTTAAGAGTAAGTTCAGACAACAGCCCATCCACTTGTTCTCAGTTTCTTCTCCAGTTTCATTGCAAAGGCTTTGATTCTAACCGCATGATAAAATGCAAATTCGAATCCCATAGAAACCAATAGTTAGTGTGTTGTTGACTGGTTTGAACCAATCAAAATTGAGTTTTATTATAATAACTTCTGAATGTCTTCCTTTTAATCTACTTGTCAGCCTCTGGGTATGTAGGATACTTGACTGTCTCAATTTTCTCCTTAACTTTATAGGATGGGTACAGGCCTGTTCTTCCTAATTTCCTATTGATGCCTTTTGAATAACCATCCCAGTGGTTTCCAGCTACTCCAATTATATCTCCAGGTTCCATAGGAATTTCATCAGCAGTTCGTGGATGATGAGCATAAATAGCAATCTGGTTGTGAGCATTCTGTCCCCCAAAGTAGTAGATATCATCCAAAGAATGGAAATACGCTGAAGCGTCTGGATGCAATGTCTGCATAATTTCATAGGCAACTCGACAAACCTTTGAAATAAAAACAGAACTCATTAATATTGTGTGTGACTGAAATATACCACAGAAATCAACAACCAGTGCACAATAACATTTCCAAGAGTATCAGGGTCTGGAATGGCTGGGTCCAAAAAAACCACATAACCAACCAACTAACAAAAATAGCCCCCAAAAAATTCAAAAACCAAGCAACACTAAACTGAAAAAACCACCAAAAAGCCCCACAGAATCCCTGCATATTTGCTACTAATTTTGCAGAATCTTAACTGGGCTCTGGTGATCAGATTTAGTAAACAAACAAATAAATACATAGATAAATAATTAGTACAGTGTACTCTTCAGTATAAAACAAAAACACCTATATGAACACTAGCAATTCTGCTTTTTAAAATTAATGATCTGTAGCCAATCAAATGTGAAAGATAATTAGTTTACTTTTTCTACTACTACTACTACAAATTGTATTTTACTTCCCTTTGAACCTTTAGAATTTACATTTTCAAATTTATCCTGCAATAATGAGACCTTGCATTTACTTCCTAAAGGAAGCTCAAATTTTCACAACCAAACAGTTCCGTAAGTCCAAGGCTTTAAAATGCTCTTTATATTAGAACAGTGACAGAATTGTGACTGCTGGCAACTTAGAAGAAAAATAAATGAAACTGAATTCTGTCAAGACAATAATTTTGTCGGTGAGAAGAGAGATGCATTTTTACTTGTCATTGTATCCCATTTTATGAAGGGAATTTTCTTCAGACTGAACACATGTTCCCACATCAGAATGATGTTCTATTTCCCAGAGTTGCCAGAAACACAAAAGTCTACTACTATATTAAAAAAAAACTTTTTCAACAGCTGGCTAAAAAGCTCTTCTCTGTCAGGTGTCTGACTTGACTACTGTGGGTTTTTCTGACTTCTGACCTCCATTACTGTATCCTTCTCTGATTTTGCATAAGTTTGATAAAAGCTGATTAACAATACAGCAGATTTCTTCAGTATGAAGAAGCATTTGAGCTTTTTCATAAATTTTCAGTCTATGTTAGTATAGTAAAGCTCGATTTTACTTTTATTTTCTCCCTTTGAAGATGCAGTGAATAGAACTTTGATCAGTCATACAAGACGTATTTGTACTTTCTTAGCTCTCCTTTGAGAGAGGTATTTGCTTTAAAAATGTAATAGATTTCCTTTTATCCCTCTGCATCTGAACTTTAAAACAACTTTTCAGAAATACCTTTCGAAGATCAGTCTGAAGTTAATTATTTCAAAGTACCTGTTACACACCATAATATAGAAACAAATTTGATTACCCATATATTTGCAAAAAGGCTATTTATTTTATAGCCTCTGTGACTGTTTTTGTTTTGTTCCCTGCATGTGTGTGTACCCCAGGAAGCAGACACAAATAATACACACTATAAAGATTGTAAATCTTTTCAGTAGAAATGTTTTTATGAAGTGTGTCCTGCATATCTGACACAAAACATTCAACAACTCCTCTCAGCAACTGTTTTCTTTGTATCACCAGACCTGGGTGACTAAACAGTAAACTCTTGAGGACAAACAGCAGGCAAAACATCCACATGCAGAAATGCAGCCAAAGCCAGCCTTCCATTTTTAACTCTCAGATCCCTTGTTCTGCAGCCTGTATACTTACCTGTACAATGAAAAATACAAAGACTAATAACTTCCAGAAGGAAATTATGGCAGAAGGAGCTATGACTAAATGAAGACTAAAGAGATTTAAAAAAAAAAAATCTTTGTTCTTATGTGTAATCTTAATTCTCCCACTGTGTTATGATTTGTGTAACCCCCATGTGGCTTTTCTATAAAATTTAATTAATCTATTCAATTAATGTGATGTTGCTGAAATATAGTGCCAAGCCAGGACCCTTGACTCTCCATTACATGACAGGACTAATTCCTTAACAACAGCATTTTAAGGAAACCTATTCTTCTAGTCTTTTAGAAAAAATGTGAAAAACAAGCCAGCATAGAATTGATTAACGAGAAAGTCCAAAACCACAATGGAAATAATTTAACCTCACTTTCTCTTCATACCTATTGGACAAAAGATGGTTATTTACTGCCTTATTTTGCTTACCTTCAATGCCAAAGTAACTATCAAATAGTTTATTTAAGTGATGAATGGACAAGGATAGCAATTCAATTGTTAGAGATAAGAGAATCAAATTTTAAACACCTTAAAATGAAACTTTAAGAATAGTGGGAAAACTTGCCATAGACCTTTTAAAAGCCCAACATATGAAGATTCTATAGAGATCCACCTTGTTGCATGCCCAGAAAAACTGGTATTAAATTATTTTTGAGGAGTTTGAATTATTAAAGGACAATAAATTGCCTAGAACAAATTAAGTTAATTACTGGACCAAATTCATAGTCCAGCTATTGACAGTAACACTCTAATATTTGATCTCTTATACTTCAGTAGAATTTTCTGCAACTCTGGAAAACCAAATATGTTATCCAATAAACAAGTCTACTGTCAAATGCATGGTGAAAGAGAATGAGAGCTGAGCCCAAAGACACCATGTACCTCAAATGTACCCTCAAAGGGGGTTGCATCAGATGCCCCCCAGAAGTCCTGATCAACCTGTAGCACCTTAACTGTGTTGAAGTATTTTAAACACATATTCTTCTTTCAAAATGACTCCAATACTTAAAATTCAATTACAATATATTCTGACCAAGCCATCTGCAGCTATTTAAACTCTATTTATACCCAAGGTTTTGTTTAAAGCAAACACTTATCACTTTTAACACAGCTATCTGAATATAATAAAGGCAGAAAATCTTAGAGATTTTTCATTAAGTTTTTATCCAAGACTACACAATTTTTCCTTCAGCCTATAAACTGTCTCTACACCAATGCACTTGTGGCATTTAGGAACTACAGCCATAGGTTTTGTTTCTTTCACTGTGATATGCATTCAGTGGATGTGCTTCAGCTAAATCAAACATTACCACTACAGTGGATGGCTCCTCACAGCTCTTCTTAGTGAGGATTTTTACTTTGGATTTTACTCAGGTCTTTGGTCTGAAACAGCCTGTGTTAATAACCTTCTAAATATGCTATAAAATGTCATTCTCTCTACAGGATGTGGTGAACGGTAAATAAAGTGTATGCACAAGCATGATTGGGGTATAAGAGGCTTTTCTATACTTTTTGTAGTTTTGCTATCTTCTTGCTACAGCAATTTTATTAAGAATTCTGCCTGTCAATATAACACCGTATTGACCATTTTGTTAATATTAATATTGTGCTTGTTACCTATTTGTCATTACAGTGCAGCAGAAAATTTACACTTGAGGCTGTGGAAAACATTTCGTTTTCAAGTAAATTTTAACTTTTGAATTTTGTGTCCACTTCCATCTAACAGTACAAATATGTGTGATTGAAGAGAATCACAACAGCAGCAAGTAAAAAACCATCAGTCAGTCTGACAGAGATCATATCTTGCCATCTGTGAATTAGGTGGATCAGCATATTAGCTACAAAATACTGCTTGGTGACTTTTTGCAGCACTTTTAATCTTAAAACGGATTTTTACAAACAGAAGCATGAAGAAAACTAAGATTTAGAACTGGTACATATAATCAACATTGTGTCTGCACTGCACTTTACCTGGGATGAAAATGTACAGACCAGGAAGTCTGCCTGAGACAAAAAGTGAATATCCAGAATGACACCTCTTAGGGAGTTTTCAGTGTATCGGTTATGGAGTCCTGCTGACCAGGATATGGAGTTATCACTGATAAATTCATAATTTGGATACCTGTGAAAATACAATAAACAGTTAATAGCATTGTTCTATGTATTTTTTTAAGAAGCATTACCTCTGCTGCAAGATAAGGTTCTTAATTTGTTTTGAGTCTCTGCTTTACAGGAAATTAATTACAATTTTGCTGAACCTTCTAGAATGTCACTGCTGCCTCCAAGCATGTCCTCTCTTTATCTAGAAAAAATAATTACATAAAAAGATCCTGTAAATCTGTATGATACATAAAGTATAAGTGAAAGAAATATCAGTAAGTATATATCACATTCTGCAAATGATGCTGATTTTAGATGAAATATACTCAGATCACTAAGTTTTCTCTACTGCTAAACAGGATATGGGATTCTGATTTTACTAGGCTACATTTATTACCAGACTATTAGATACTGATTAGGACACTGTGCAAAAAGAACAGTCACCTGTAAAAGGACATATTAAATAAATGCATGTAAACTAATGAAAAGAATAAAAAGTCTTTCACAGTTTGTAAGGCCATATGGAGAAGGAATTTTTCAATTCACTGGTCAAAAGAAATTAAATGTGGAATTCTATGCCAATACACTTCTCTTGACTTATTACAAAAAAAAAATTAATACTACTTTAAGGCAAAATATTTTTTTTTAATATGAAACCTTAGTTTATATGATATTAAAAGATTTTATCATATAACAATAACTCAATATTATTTTAAAATCTACTTAAAATATTGAAAATTTCTCAAAAAGATTACACTTCTGTAATGGGGAGCTGAAATCGGAAAGAAACTGTAGAAAGAAGCACAAATTAAACTAATTAAACATTTAATAATTTAAAATATTAATTAAATAATTAAATTTTCAATCTGCCCCCTATCAAAGACAATTATTACAGATGTAACAAAGGTGGTAACTATGTTGCTACTACAGAGCAATTATTTTCAATTATTAAGTGCAACTCACATGACTATCAGCCAGCTACAAAATTTCAACTACACTTATTATTACACAGTTTATCATAAAAAAACCTATATATATACATAAATAAAAGTTTTTTTCAAATCTGTAACTTCATTGTAAATATAAATCAATTCATTATATAAGAGAGCAAGAGAGCTAATATAACATTCCTAAGAACATGCCTAATTTATTCCATTTTAGTGTTAAAAATATGGGGAAAATTTATTGAAAAGTGAAATGGACAAATATAGTTGCCTTTTGTGAGTAAATCAGTAAATTTATCTCAAGAGCAAATCAAAATACTGTATGCAAAATGTCCACTTTTAATGTGGAATGTATGGGACAGTTTTAAAGGGTGTATGTGATCATCAAGGTCAGGAAAAGTTACAATTAAAAAACAATAAGAAACAAATTAATAGAAAATCAACAGAAAAAAGAAAGAGAAGGCAAATAGAATAATTGCTAATAACCCTTCTGAGGAATTACAACAGCTTATTTGAAGTTAAAAATAGATTTTCAGTAAGAACTCTTTCACAATTTAAATTTTATTTCTGATCTTTTTTTGTCTAACACTTTTTGTCAATATTTAACCAGTTCTCAAAATAGATGACACCACAATATTTGTCACATATTCTGTTATCATTTTCATTGGGTTAATCATATTAGATTTTTGGTTTTTTTAAAGGAAGAAAAAAGTACAGACCAAACAGAAATACATCATACTCTACTCCGAGAGCTAGCTGAGAAACAGAGATAAGCATCAGTCTTATCTCAAGAAAACAACTGCAGGTGGAGCAACACAAAGAACATTTAACAGAAGATGGCATTTCTAGGGACAGTGAACATGGTAAAGATATTTGCAGACCCCTTTGCAAGTTCTTGGTATCAGGAATATCACTAAAATTAATCATTTCATTCAGACTTGAAAAATCAGAATCCATATGCTGAGCAGACACAAAAGAACTTGTCTTGAAGAATTTGGTTTCTTACTAGCAAAAGATCACTCTAATAACTTTAACGAATGAACAAGGAAAAAAGTGTCATATCTGATCTGGTAAAAAGCAAAAGGTGAGAAATATTTACACATCTTTTTTATGCATACATTTAAAATGTTCGCCTTCTTTCATTTATTCTGAAACAGTAGCTGAGATGCTGTTAGATCTGGTCTTAAATTCTGTCTTATAAAGTTGATCCAAACTCTTCTAACCAACAGCTTCAGAGCCCACTCTTCAAAATAATCATCAAAGCTTGTAATTTATCCACTCTCGTGGTTAAGTTTTCAAACAAGCACTTTTATGTTGTCTCCCACACACAATGCTTGGGAAAAGAGGTTTCTTTTAAAATGTGAGTGAAATAGCAGCCATACTCAGTGTGACCAAAGAATCTTCTGGTCCACTATCCTGTCTCCAACACAGGCTGAAAGCAGAGCATAAAGAAAAATATAGGAGAAGGCCAGGCACACACTCCTGTCAAGCTGTACATGGCCCACTGAGTTCCTGCATTTAATTCTCCTTCCCACTCACTACAGTGATTGAGATTCTATTTGAAGCTATTCTTGCCACAAGGACTGCAAAGAATAAAGGAAATAAAACTACCAAAGTTCTATAGTTAACTCTTGCTTCCTTACATTCCCTTCTCCATCTGTATTTATATTATTATTAATGTAATGCTTACATTTTAAGTTTTTGGGCATTTTAATTTCTTTTTAAAGTAGAAATTAGGCACAATCCTATTCCTAGGATTCCTGAATGTGTAGAATATGATTCAGACATTATAAGTTGTCATATTTTTATTGACAGAATCACCAAAACACAATATTGTGTAGGATGCCTTCTAGCATAACTCACATAGCCTCTTCTCTGAAACAGGAAAGGCCCAGATTGTGAATCATGGAATCATTTAAGTTAGAAAAGACCTTTAAGACCATTGAGTCCAACAATAAATCCAGCACTTCCAAGTCCACCACTAAACCACATCTTGAAGGTGCCAAATCTACACGATTTTTAAATACCTCCAGAGACAGTGACATTATATTTCCTTGGGCAGCCTGCTCAAAGACAAAACCAAATAATGGAAACTGGCACGGCTCCGTTTTCTTTGTATTGGGTTACATATATGTAGTGTATCTCTTCCACATATGTAAAAATAATACCCAGTTCTTTTAAAGCTATCTAATAGATTCTTGAAACCTATGTACAGGCCAGGAAAAATTTTATTTTGTTTCATCTTATTAGAAAGAGAAAAAAGAAATCAAAAGAAGGTGGGGAAGAGAGAGTTAAAAAATCTTTCCTTCCTGTACCTAACACCCTCAGATAAGAATGCAAATCAAGCACAGGTATGGGACTGTTTCAAGTTTGTGTTTGGTTTCAGAACCTGATCGAGCTTCTTGTGTAACTACAGCTTATCACTGCAGGTGCAAAGCAAGGTGAGTCCCAGGCTCCTGTTCCAATTGCTAGGCCTGTGGAAGTTTCCAGAACAGCTGAAAATTTTGAAACAACTGAAAATTTTCTTCCCTCTGAAAGAAGATTGTGAGTATAAACAGATTGAGTAAGAAATAATGTGTTTTCTCAGGTCTTGCTCTAGAAGAAATTGGAAAATTTGAGCTGTTCATCAGATTCCAGTACATAGTATATAGAATTCTATATATCTGGCATACTACGACTTGGGAGGATGGGGAGGGTTAGCCAAACTACAGAGAGTAGAAAGGGAGAAGTAAAAAAAGGAGAAAAAAGAAAATACAGATGACTTTACAGGTAAACATTCTGGAAGGAAGAATCTGATTTGTTGAATTTTTGTGCTCATGTACAAAAGGAAGACACTGAAATAGGTTCGTATACAAACCAGATATATATTAAATATGGTCTCCTAAAAATTTATGTATATATAATCTGCATTATTTTGAATACCTTAGAGAGTGAAGATACTGTAAGTAATATTACAGACTAGAAAACACATGTACTAGACATTCAAAAATTTGCATGTGAAAACTATTAAATCAGCCAAAGAAAAAGCAATTTACACCATCCCTAACACATCACTTACCCAAGATAAATACCAGGAACTCTGCTTACCAGAAGCTGTCAAATACTTTAATCCCCTGATCATTACAGTTGTTGAACTCTCAAACCTTCTACTCTCTACTAAAATTGTTCTTACATGATCCTAATTCTGAAAATATATCACTTCTTTCCTTCTTTTGGAAATAGAACACAAAAACTCTACAAACTGGTGGCAGTGACTGCACTATCTGTACTGCTGTATTTGCAGTTGGTAGACATCTGACTGCAAGGGAAGTTTCTGAATCTTAAGTCAAAACATTTCTGTTTTCATGACCATGAATAGCTTAAAATACTTCCCTTGCTAGAAACAACATGCCTATTCATGTGAATGTTGGCTAAATGTTCTTTACTTAAATGCCAACGCTGTTTGACAGCCAGTCACTCTCTTGTAGAGAGATACAGTACCTAGTACTTACTAATATTATTGCACCAAATAATGAATGCAACATAAGCTACCGCAATGTGACAGCTGTTTCTATCAAAGCTTGGTAGCTCAATGTGACTAGAACATTTTTGTCAGAAGCGTAAACCAATTTATAGTTGATTTCACAAGAAGAGAAAGAAAAGCTTCTTTGCTGCCAAAACATGACCTTAACCTGCCTTCAGATGTTATTAAATGCCCAAACATCAAATTGCATCCTGCCTTCTGTGAAATCACAGGAAGTTTCAAATGCCTTCTACTCAAGGGATCTGAAGCTGCAAGCAACAGTAGGGTGCAAGCAACGTAGGAAATTATGTTTCAGTGTAAGCTGTGACCTGAAAATGCAGCAGTAACACAAAAAATTCTTCAATACTTACAGAGTCTATGCCTTTTATGAAAAAAACATAAAATTAATGCTGTATGACTGAGCTGTATCTTACCATATTAAAGTAAAATTGTGATTTGGAATGGACTTGAGCTGTAATTCTTAATAAAATTCAGTATTCTTTTACTGAATAAGTTACAATTCTACAATTATTTTTTGTTGCTATTACAAACTTGGGATTATATAGGTAGAGCATGTCACTATTCACAAAGAATGCTAAGGTTTGAAATTTAAACAAAAATAAAGAAAAATGCATAACTAAAATGGTTACATCAATATTGAATTCTGTTATGTTACAAACAGTTATTAAAGTTAGTCAGGACAATATAATTAATTAAATATTATAACCTCAACTTTGCATTACCTGTCTTTTAAAGTGCAAATCTAAACAATGAAGTGCTACAGTTGTATTCTGCCAGAACACATACAAAAAAAGGAAGGATTAGGTTGCCTTCATCTGGAGTTGAGTTTGTTCATTTAGTTTTTACAAAACACCATCATTTTAAACAGCAGCCTTTTATAGATATGAAAGAAAAACAGAAACAGCACAGTTGAAATAGACAGGTTTTCAATGCTGTAGAAAGTTCTTCTACTAAAAAATAACATTTTCTGCTTACCTTGCATATGCCAAAGAAAATCTGTTACGTAGTATGGTATCTTATATATTTTTTCATGAATGTCACCAAGAATAGAACAGTTCAATAATTTACCACTACGGAGTTGCTTTGATTTTAGAAAGTATTAATTAATTAATTAATTAGCAGTATTCATTTACAAGAAAATACAGGCCATGTAGGAGTAAATGAATGTTTACCATGTATCCATTTTCTAGAGAGCTAGAAGAGGATACAGAGCAAAAAAAGGGGGCAGACACTGTAAGAAGTCCTATATTTAAGGACAAAATTATTCAACATGTATGA